AGCAACAACAACAGCAACAACAACATGAGCAACAACAACATGAGCAACAACAACATGAACAACAACAACATGAGCAACAACAACATGAGCAACAACAACATGAGCAACAACAACATGAGCAACAACAACAGCAACAACAACATGAGCAACAACAACAGCAACAACAACAACAACATGAGCAACAACAACAGCAACAACAACATGAGCAACAACAACATGAGCAACAACAACATGAGCAACAACAACAACAGCAACAACAACAACAACATGAGCAACAACAACATGAGGAGCAACATGAACAACAGCAACAACAACAACAGCAACAACAACGTGAGCAACAACAACAACAGCAACAACAACAGCAGCAACAACAACAACGATATTTCATCTCTAAATTACGGGAATTTCTAAAAACTCTCCCAGGTTATTATCGACTGGTACAATCGAGGAAAAAATCTTCCAGCGACAAACACACAAGAAAGCTCTCAGCAGTTGCGTCGTCGATGAGGAAGAAGACGTTGCTCGCCATTTCTCAATGGAGGACCTACGAGATCTCTTTAAACTGAACGACAAGACATCCAGTGAGACACATGACAAGTTCAAATGCAGAAGGTTCGTAACGTTCAGAGACTGTAAACCTCTTAACCCTGTATTCTTGAAATAACGTTCCAAAAGTTTCCGATTCTGGTGATCGGCAATCATGACTTTCCCAGCTTTTTTCTGCTTGGAAACCCTGCTTTTCCGCCGACATAAGCAATTTCTTGCCGATCATTGATTGGTGATCGGCTGTTATTCCACGCCCTGCTTTCTCTGATATGTATGAACCCTGTAAAAAGTTACACCACTGAGCACATCTATTATTAAAATATTTGTACTACGTTTTAGGTGTGTCAACAAAATTCAGGTGCGTCCCCCACCTGAAAGGTCGAGCTGCAACTCAGATCTATCGGAGTGGAACCATTCTAATGACAAGAAGGGGCTGGAGGACCAGGCGCTCAAAGGAGCTTGGGAAGACGGGGTTACATTCGTGTTTCATCATTGGTCACACGAGAAGCAACTCGGTGTGTGAACGACTGAGTATGAACGAGCAGTTTTCAACTTTTCACAAGCTGCCCTGTTTAATCCTTTGTGAATTGTAACACTTTCCTCTGCAGAGCCGTATAAATAAACACGAAAACTACAATCTTGGGACATAACTGGTTGAGACTATTTTCCCCTCGTATCAACATTCACATATTCTTATGATAAATTCCGTGTTGAATCATGTTGCCCTTCTTACGCCCCGCTTCCTCAACTCAATGTTGAACTTGTGTCATGGTACATTACCAAAAGTTGTTTCCAACAATGAACTAGGGGGGAGGGAGGCAAAGTTTGTTTTGTCAATACTCAATAACTTTGACAAGGTTTTGTCCACGGATTGTAGTTAATATACCCGGAAAATATAAGGCATTAATTTGCGTGTATATATATAGCATATATGTAGCTAGCCTTCACGACTCTGCCGAGGAGAGTGGAATTGTAATATTTTATATGGTCCCCAATATTTTATATGGTTCTAATGCAGCAAGGGTCTCTAGAGGGAGGAGGCAGGATTGATTCTAGTGACTGAAAGTTAAGCGGAACGGACAAATTTTTCGATCAAACAAAAGAAGAATAGAAATATATTTTATATCATTGCATTGAAGTTTTCTATTGTAAATAAGGATTGTCATGCAATATTGGGTTGCAGAAATAAATACTGATTTAAGATATTGCAACATTCTGATTTCATTTTGCAAGAAAAATTGTGTTATCCCAGAACAGGTAGGCAATTGACGATTCCCCTTATTACGTTTTCGTAGCGCTTCGCATTGTGGTTTTAGTGGTATCACTGACATTCAAGATGGCTTATTTTTTGTCCTGACCCGTGCAAGAACTTTTAAAAAAAGCTAGGGTCAGGTGCGCGATAGCCAACAGCAAAATATTCGCGAAAACATTCAATATTTTCATTCGAGGCGGGAGGGTGCTTCTTATCGTCCAAGTATGAAATGGCTTGCGCACAAAACTTTCAAGCTAAAATTGGGATATTATTCAACTGGTTACAAGTATGAAAGGTGTTTAAAAAACTGTCAAAATTTCGCAAAAAATGGTGCTTATTTTTAAAAGAGGAACGCGAAACCCCTAAAGTTGCCACATTTGCCATTACGCGCAGTTGATTCAAGGCATAATTGATTTTAGCGTGACCGATCTCATGCAAGGATGGGCACATGAATAAATTAAAGCAAACAAGCGAACACATAAACAAAGCGATTTAATAAGCAGTTGTTTTGATTCATTTATTATGCTAGTCCTCAACATGTCCACCGTTTCTTTCCAAACAAACTTCCGCTCGCTTTTAAGCTTTTGAGAGAATTAACAATCAAATGAAAACTAACGAACCAAAACAACTGCTTATTAAATCGCTTTGTTCACTGGATATGTGTTCAATTGTTTGCTTTAATTTATTCATGTGCCCATCCTTGCATGAGATCAAACATCGTGAAAGAGAAATCGTTCGATGCTTATCCTTTTTGGTTGAAGGACAACTTTTCTAGTCTTCTCAGTTTCAAACAATTTGAAAACATCAAGAGCGAGAAAATGGTCCTCGCAAAAGCTCTATGTGTTGTGCTGCTTTTGTGCTCAGCAAGTTCAGTCGGCGAAAGTCGACGCCTGGAAAGGGATTCCGATGTCGAAAAGCGAGCGGTGAATTATCCACAACCGCCGGCGGGACAGCCAGCCGAGGCAACACGAAATGCAGCCGATCTTAATGCTATGGTTCGCAGAATTTCTGGCGCACGTAAGTCGTACGTTATGCTTATTTTTTGTTGCGATTGTGTGAAATTTTGCTGCGATTTTAGGTGCGATTTTCTTCTTCTAATGGATCTAATGGATGTGTACCAGTAGCGTAACTATTATTGGTTCAGACTGGGTGAACCCGGGGGACCCCAACCCCAATGGACCAAATAGGGGGCCCAGGCTGTAGAGCGAAAACATTGGCCAGAGAGGCCGCTGATTATGTTACAATGTCGTTTTCTGACCATCAGAATTCCATAAAATCTCTCTCCAAAGTCCAGGAAATGGCATTTCAGAGATTCTATATTTAAAAATTTTCCGGGTGAGCATTAGCACTCCCTGGACCCCTAGAAAACTCCTGCATATACTGTGCTCAACTTGTGCCTTTGGCACTTCTACTAGGGGGGCCTTCGAAAATTTTGAACCGGGGGCCCTCTGATATAACGTTACGCCACTGATGTGTACGAGTAGATGGGATATCTGCTATGAATGTTCAGATCAGGGTACATTAGTACATATACTCAAATCAACAAACAGATAACATTTTGCCGTTGTCTGGTCAGTTATAGATACACAATATGACGTCATAACGTGAAAAAGAAAAAAGTGCCCACGAGCCGCCGAGGCGAGTGAGTCACTGCCCAGCGGGCAAAATGACGTTTATCCAACGTTGAATCAACGTTGGAAATGACCTTCCAGACGTTGGATAGACGTTGAAAAAGGGTTGACTATGCAAATTGGATCGACGTTACTGTTTCGACGTTGAAACAACGTTGAAATTAGGTTGCCAATCTCGTCAACCATAATTCAACGTTGAATCCACGTTAAAACAACGTTGAGATTGGTTCACAAATCGACGTCGTACATTTAACCATGAATGAACGTTAATTCAACGTCTGTTGGCTGCTGTTGAACCAATGTTTGTAAAACAACGTCAGAGCAACGTAGATATTAGGTTGTCGACGTCGCATCCTTTTTTCTACCACATTTCAACGTTGAAACAACGTCGTGTGCCCGGTGGGTGATGTCATGATGTGCTTACCACGTTACAACGGCAAAATGTTATCTATTTGCTTTATATAATAAAAAAGTTGAAAAGCCTTCATAAACTATCAATTTGTAGTCAAAAGATTTGTAGCTTTGAATTAACAGCGAGCTTAAGCATGTAGGACGGCAACACGACGACGACGGCGAAAACAAATTCCTTCAAATAAATGATAGTAAAGAAAACTTGTCGTATATTATAACTCGTATGAATTTAATACAGCATAAGAAGTTGAAAACATTGGCTTTATGTTTGGGAAGAGTTCTATTGAACCGAATTTTAAGTTGCACTTGTTACGCATTGAAATGCAGGCGTTGTATAAAAGACGTGAAAATCTGTGATTTGCCGTTGTCAACAGAACGACGACCACGTCTGAAACTCTCTTGGGACTTTAATTATTTATTTCTTTTCATTGACTCATTGTATTTGTTGGCGTCGTCGTCGTGTTGCCGTCCTACATGCTTAAGCTCCCTAATAATGTAATCCGTGACGGAAAGATATTTCTACGTCATTTGACGTGATCCGGGATCTATACAAAACAAAGCACTCCATTGGTTCGTGGTGCTTCTGAGAGAGTCGTGATTCGCTTAAGTATATTAAGTCACTGCATTGGTGTCAGCCGTGCGTCTATCCTAGAAATAGATCATAGCTCTTGACCAATGAAAAGGTAGAATGAACTGCGATTATTATACATGTAATTTGAATTTTTTAGCTGATACCCAGATGGCGTTTATCTATCTACATCCCCCCGGTGCAAACGTTTTGACGCTGACAAACCAGGCGGTTAGGGGTACACTAAATGGTCCTGCAAGGTCTAACCGCGGTTTACTAATTGGTGATCTTTATCCACCTCGACCACCGCCTAATACTAATGACAACACCAACTTCAGAATGAACTTTCGCGGCCAACGGCGACAGCTCGAAATTGACAACACGGACCACACGGAGTATAAACTATTAAATAACCGTGGACTGGAAGTTATGGTACAAAGTATGCCGCATTGTCCAGTTTACGTGATCCTTTATTCTAAACTCCTACCCTGCAGCGTAGGAGGTAACCCGAATAAGCCTCCACGTTGCCTTGAAATGATAGCCACGGCAAGAAGAAATATCCGCACACCTTGTCCCAATGCACAATTTTATCTTTACACTACCCAAAATGGTCCAAGGACAAGTACACCTCGCGATCCAGCAAAAGACCAAAATTATCAGAGGTATTTCCAAACTGACATGACCTATATGCAACGTCAGAATATCATCTGGTTACATCCACTATGAAGAATGACAAGTAACAAGACTATTGGAAGAATAGAGATTCTGACTTGTGTTGTAGTAGTAGACATTCAACCAGGGACGCCGGAACTGGGGGGGGCAGGGGGGGGGCTGCCCCCCTTGCCTTTTGCTAGGGGGGCAGGGGGGGGCAGAAGTGCCCTTTTAGTTGTAAAATAATACGTGATAAATCACATTTCCAACGATGCTTTTTGTAGGAAAATCACGAGATTCAGGTAATTTATAGTTTATATTTATAAAAATTTTTGAAATTTAGAAAAATATTTTGAAGAAATGGCGAAAATCGCCAAAAAATTTTGCAGTGAAAAAAAAATTTTCAGTAGAGGTGCCCTTGGTGTGCGTCCGCCCCCCTTTGCCCTATTATCGTTCCGGCGTCTCTGCATTCAACCGTAGTGTTAGTCCTAGCTTTGTAGTATTATATGACATTTGAACGACGTCTGCTACAGCTGTAGTATTAGACGAAGCTTAGTAGTATCTACATTGTTACACAAATTAAAGGTTGTATGCCAAATTATATGTGTTGATGTGTTAACAAATACAGGGTGCGATAATTCAATATTTTTAGCCGTAGTGGTACCTAAATTACTTTGAATCTGTACTCGAGTAAAAGTAGAAGTAATTGACAATAAAACGACTTGAGTAAGAGTAAAAAGTACTGGAGGCAAAACGTACTCAAGTAAAAAGTGCAAATTATCCTTAAAAAATACTTCAAGTACAAAGTAAAAGTAAAAGTACTATTGTCTGTAGCGTGTAGGGAGGGGACTTCTCCATTGATGGATTGACATACAAAAAAAACACAAAACAGCACACGCATTATAAATATGCAATATTTCAAGACATGGCCTACTTTCCAGACCCTGTAAAGATATAAGAAATCCATTAAATAAACTAATACTTAGTTATAAGTACACAA